GTACACTTTTTGAAGTTTTTTTTTTTGTATTTGACGTCCGGGACGCGCCTTTAAATCCCACGAGAGTGTTCCAGCCAACGCGCAAGACGCCTCCGTCGACACGGTGCGGTAACCGCGTATGACTCTAACCGCCTATATCCTCTGAGGGCGCCAGAGGCGTAGCCTATTTTGGGCGGTCAGAGCCGCCGCCCACGCCAGTGTACCATGGAATACTATGGACTATACAACCCCCGTGTACAGCTGTCTTGTCGCGATGCTGGATCCTCCTAAATTGCTTAAAAGTCGACCTAGGGCAGAAGCAGCGCTGAACAGCTTTGGAGCAAGCTATCGGAAATACTCGTCGAAGAGCCACCTCCCGTCAAGAATCAGGCCCAGATACTTCATCTGGGCCTGAACCGCTACGAGGACAGAATCGGCCACGATGGATGCGCCGGGGATCGGACCACGAGGGGGCCCATAGAACAAGAGGGTCTCCGTCTTATCGAGGGCCAATGCGCCCGACTACCAGAGAGACTCGCCTGGTAGCTAGGCGCGCGGCCTTTTTAAGGGCCGCCCTCCGGGCTGTAACTAGCGTGTCATCGGCGTAACAAATAACGCACATGCCAGGGGAAGGAGGCGACCTCGAAGAGCCCAGTCGTAACCTATGTTCCACAGGAGTGGTCCGAGAACAGACCCCTAACGACATGGGCCAACGCCTCAGAGCACCATCTTGGTCCTCGCACCCGCTTCAGGTAGCTTTGGAGACGGGGCTTGAGAGCCGCTATCGTTCTTTACACGCAAATTGACCCCCACCCACTTTAGAACAAGCACTTTGCCTGTTCTCCTCGTCAGTTCCGATACCTGGGCTACATCGCTGTATCGCAATTTACAACAGATTTACGCCACATTTCAGAAGACAACAATGTGGTCACTGATACACCAGTAAAAGTGGCTAAAATGCAAGAATACTTCACAGCACACAGTTTTCATATTCAAGGATTTGGTTACAAAAGAATATATTTTCCTACGAGACGTTACGGTTAAAAGAACATTCTTCATTCATTCATTCAATGTACTTCGCCCCGTAAAAAAACCCCCGCCCCGTGTAAACCCTGATAACTTTACTACCTTCATTGAAGGCAAAAAAGTAACCCTGTTAATAGACAGCCTCAAACCCGCGTATCTACTGAAAGATGATACGCAGAAACCCAATAGCGAATTGTCAAGCACAAGAACTACTACGTAATCAGGACGTCATGTAAGATTTCCAGATTACTTTCGGCCATAGTCACGGTCTCAGCGGAGGAATAGTTTGGAGCCACCTAATTTGTGCTTCTACATCCAGCGGGCTCGTGCAGCAACGTACAACCACGAGCGCCGCGCGCCATTCGCCAGCCGACTGTTGTCGCTTGTCAACAAACACGCATGTGATGTCTTGGTTCATCGGCTGTGCTTGTATATAAATAATGTTTTTATTTCGTGCTCTGTATCACATGGGCTGAAAAGTCCCAGGTCTAACACATATTTGGCGCTAGTTTTATTGCAGTCACCTTTTTTTTAATTAATACTAACCTACAAAAGACAGCTGTTAGAATTTCATGATATTCTATTCATTAGTTTGTGAGTTATTGTGCTAAGAGTGACGCTACTTTTGTTATTTTCAAAACAATGGATCAAAAACAATTTCGTGTTTTAATTTTACACTGCTTCTTGATGGGAAAAAATACCGTTCAAGCGAAGCAATGGCTTGAAAAGTGTTATGGGAACTCCGCTCCATCAGAAACAACAATAAAACGTTGGTTTGCTGACTTCAAACGTGGTCGTAGAGACACCGATGATGCAGAACGCAGTGCACGTCCAAATGAGGCTGTAACACCAGAAAACAAAAAAAAAAACACAAAATTGTTTTGAATGATCAAAAAGTGAAGTTGCGTGAGTTAGCTAACATCGGAAAGATATCAAAAAAACGTGTTGGCTTTATATTGCAGGAGCATTTGACTATGAGAAAGCTCTGTTCAAAGTGGGTGCCGCGTTTACTCACTGTTGACCAAAAACGAGAACATGTTGATGATTCTGAGCAGTGTTTGGCCATGTTTAAACGTAACAAACCGGAATTTTTGCGTCGATATGTGACAATGGATGAAACATGGATCTATCACTTCACTCCGGAATCAAAACGATCGTCATCTGAGTGGACAGCAACTGGTGAACCTCGTCCAAAGCAAAGAAATACCATTAACAGTGAATATTAAATAGCGTTATTGGAGCGTTTGAAGGCCGAAATTGCAAAGAAACGACCGCATATGGCAAAGAAAAAAAAATTATTTCATCAAGACAACGCACCGTGTCACAAGTCAATCAAAACAATGGCAAAACTACATGAATTGAACTTCGAATTGCTCCCACATCCACCGTATTAGCCAGATTTGGCTCCCAGCGACTATTGGCTGTTCGCAGACCTGAAAAAAATGCTCGCCGGTAAGAAATTTCGCACGAATGAAGAGGTTATCGCTGAAACTGAGGCCTATTTTGAGGCAAAAGATAAATCGTTCTACAAAAGTGGTATTGAAATGTTAGAGCGGCGCTGGAATGATTGCGTTGCTCTTGATGGAGATTACGTTTATTATCAAAGCTAAGTTTGAAGCAAAAAAACTGTGTTTTCTTTGTTAGGCCCGGGACTTTTCAGCCCATGTCTTAAATGTCATAATTAAACATATGTCTATTAACTGTGACTTATCATTAAACACTCCGTGCAATATCATATATATATAATGTTATTAGTACACTTTTACACTAACATTATCTAATGGAATAAGAGTGGGATGGCTGACCTTTATAACTACGTCTAATAACATTGAATTACGTCAGTTGTCGAAACTTTAAGAAAATCTTCGTAAAGCAACTTTGTTGGTTTCACAAATCGATCTTACTCCGGGTTTCTCTGTACATGAAATATTTCTCTTCTTTTGTATTTAATTCTCATTTTGATTAACTATATACCTTTTATGACATATAAGGCAGATGAGTCCGAATCATGCGGGGGGGGGAGGTAGTATAGGTGCCGGTAACCTCACCCACTCGGTGCAATGAGTGGCGTCAAAATCATGTTGGACCCATTAACACTAAATAGTGGAGACTAGGGATGGAATAAGATCAGAATCACATGTGATAAATCATATGATTTATTTAATCATGTAGTCACTCTAGCGATTGATTTAAAAAACCACTGCGACTTAATTATTATTATTACGCTAGGGCAACACCCGCAAAAGGTCTAAATCTAAAAAAAAGTTCGTAAGCTTTGATCAAAAAAATTTTAATTAATTTAATGTCATTTATCTTTGTCTATGTCGAAATCACAATTGCATGTGAAATCGCTGTGACTAAAACCAATTATTTCATCAAATGAATAAGATTAAAAGAAGCAATAATTTCCATGTCTAGTAGAGACAAAAGGACTCGGAAATACCGTTGGGCCCATCAGTGGAACTTTCCAATGGAACCAACAGTCTAAAAGCGTGAAAAGCAACGAAAACATTGTTTAACACCGGCATGACCAACTGACAACTTAGGCATGACCAAGGTGATACCACGGCCTCATATAAAAATATGAGGCCGTGGTATCACCTTGGTCATGCCTAAGCCCAAGCATGGCTCTTCTACAGATTATTTTAACATATTATTATTTTATACTCTGCATCTGTCTTTATGACCGTTGATTATATCAAACGCGAAACCAACTTATTCCTTTCACCCTACTAATAATAATAATATTCTACCACATTGACACAACGCCATCTAGTCCCTAACTAAACAGCTGATACTACAGGTACTAGACACCTGATATAAATACATATATACATTTTTTTTGTAAGTACATACATATCATATTATAAATCAAACATTAAAAGTTCATGCACACAAATGTTTGACTTGAGCGGCAATCGAACCCGCGACCTTTGGAATACACCGTTACACGAACCACTACGCCATTCGTTCGTCGTAAAACCAATTGATAAATACATTAATGCGTATGGATAAATATATTGTTAGAAATGACTCGAGTTTTATATATGTATAAACACGTGCATAATATACACTACTCACAAAAATTAATTTTCAACAAGTTATAACTCCATGAAAAATGATCGTACAGCAAAAAAAAAGCAAATTGTAGCTTTAAGTATCTAGTTTTCGGATCTGGCCATGTTTTTTTTTTATAATGTTTGGTCCTGGAGAAATTCTATGGAAACTGGCGGAAAAATCTTAAGACTTACAAAAAACAATCTTTGTGATCGAAGAAAAACGATTATCGAGGAAGAAAAAAAATAAATTGGAAAAATGAATAAGCTTTGAAATAGCTATTCAAGCTACATCAAGACAAAAGATATGTCCTCCCATTGTAAAAAAGACACCCAAATAATTATTTTAGTAGAAGCTAAACAGTGAATGAATAATGCATCAAGTGTCGGTCCACTGCGTGCTTTAACCTTGATCTCATGATCGGCGATTATGGCTGTGTATCCTGTTGTTACCAATGTTTTTCGTTGATAGAATGTTTATTTATTGCAAGTTCTTAATACTTAATTTTCACGGTCCTGATGGTTTTTTTTTTGGTGACGGGTTAGAAAATCCTATCAGATCTCCGGCTTCTTGGGGTATCCAGGCGCCTGAAGTATGTTGTGTTGCCACTAAAAACCCGGCCGGCCTTAGGCGCCCTCCTCTAGGGAGGACCCGGGCCATGTAATTTCAGGTCCCCCCCGGGTCGACGCCACAGGGTCTCTTGGTCTAGTGGACAGTGGTCCATCACTGCTAAGCCAGAGAGCTTTGTTCTGTGTGTATGGGTGTAAAATAATAATAAAAATTACCTCACACATCACACACACGGCTGTCTGATTCCAAACTATCCTCATATAGATGATCATGCATACATAGGACATCCTCTGCTACCCGTATGTCTTCATCGAAAAAGTTCTAATTTCATTGGTTTATCCATTGGTTTTAATGTTTATTGCTTGCAGAATCTTGACGAGGTGCACATAGCTTTAGAAGTATGTCAAGAACCGCGTGTGATGAACCCAAATGCGGCTGGCGCCCTCCCAGTTCCTGGAAAATACAGCTATATACATAAGGTATGTTGTTTAAACTATTTTCGCAGTACCAAAAAAATACCATCCATTTTACTTCAAAACCGGCTTCAATTAAATTTCATTTTTGCCGTGTGTTGAGTAAGCTACTACACATTTCACTTTAAAAAAAAGCATGCCAGTCTAGACAGTAACAAATTCAAAATGCAATATCAAAAGACTGTCTCCAAAGTGAAAGTAATATCATAAAGAAATATTTTAACACACCAGGAAGACATTAGTAATATTGCAACTAATAGATGAACATACAGAAATGTTGGGAGCGCTTCCCGGTAGTGGTCCACAACGGATACTGGATGTTAAAGTGGAGAGAGACTTGTAGTGTATTAACTGATTACGGGATTTGCAATAAATTTCAGGTAATCGATGGAATTTCAGTGGCGGTAAACCACGTACAAATAGACTTTAGTTGCGAAGCTTTCACCAGCAGTGTTCAGGTAAGATTGAAATGTTAGTACCCTATTGTCATTGAATTAATCATCTATAAATAAAAAAGAACTTGTCCGAACTGACTGACTGATTCATCAACGTGGAGCTCAAACTGCTGCGGCTTAAAACTTTGACATTTTTGCAACTGGCACTTTCTATGTAGTGAGCACCTATTAAGAAAGGATTTTCTGATTTTCACCCAAAGGGGTAAAATAAGGGATAAACGATTGAATGTAAGTTCATCATTTTCAAACAAAAATAAGAAATAGTCAGGCGAGTAAAGCCGCGCGAGCTGATTGAAATATACAAAGTTCTTTGAAAGAAAATATTGACACCAGCGCAAACAACTTGTTTAAAACAGTGTTAATTAACAACTGTTCAGAAGCATATTCGTGCAATAATTTGCGGATTCTGATCCGTTAATTTAGTGCCATAAATTAGTTTATATGTAAGGGCCAAAGATCGCATTTTTTGTATAGTTTGACTGCCAAAAAGTCTTGTTTGCGCGCTCTGTAAACTGCAATTAGACCGCTTGCTTATGACGAATTATATCGCATCCCATATATTGTATCCCACTGGAGTGATATTTAGGCATTCGTGAGCGCTTACATCATTAATTAAAGACCTAAATAATAGGGTATCGAGTTTTAAAATTTTAAAAACTAATCTGTTTGAAGTTGTCAGAACAGAATATGTAATTCTTTTCTGACGTCTCAGCACTTTACTATTCACAATACAAATTGTCACGACAATATTACGAACAATACAAATTGTTAACAGCAAAGTGCTAATATTAAAGACGAACAAACATGGACAAGGTCAATCACCGTGGCAATAATAGATCTTAATGATAAAAAACTATGATAAATATAACCGGAAATGGCATTCATTATTATAATTTCTCAGCATTTAAACCAATCTATTTATAAACTACTTATGCAATAGTTTGTTCAACTTTTGATAACTATTAATCACAACGATTTCTTATCACTATCAAGACGAAACATTTTTTCAAAAAAAATACTTTTTATTTAAATATAGAAGATTTTGGTTTTATAACCATTTTACTGTTCAAAAACATATTTAATTTAAAAAAAAAAAATCTCAAAATTTTATCAAATACTATTATTTTAAATTAACTTCAAACTTTCTCATCACTATTAAACCGAACTCCGTTTTTAGGAAATCATCTTTTTACTAGAATTTCTATTTTAAACAAAAAAATTAAACTTTTAATTTGAATGCTTTGCAGATCTCAAGAGTGACGGTAGAGTCCCGAACGCCAGAAGGACGTAAAGGAGACTTAAGACTGACTAGAATCAAATCACCGGACACAGGACAGCTGCTTATATTTAAGGTAAAGAAAACATTTAACTTATACCTTAAGTAAAGAAACTTTAGAACATCGAAACATTCATGATTATGTGTGCTGTGTGTTTATATGCATCTAAATATGAATAAAATCATGTTTCTAGGAGTTAGAATGGCAGAGCGCTCGCATAGAGGCGAAGGCGCATGGCGCGGCTGCTGCCAACCTACCGCCTCTGCGACTGCTTCTCGGGAACACGCACTGTCGGATCGTTATCAAAAAGAGATTGTCAGGTACTTGTTTTAATTTAAAAAAAAAACGAATTTAAGTTGGTTTATTACGTTTTAAGTCTTAATGGTTTGTTCCGTTTTTAAGTCTGAACTGCTCAACGTAGCCGTTGGCGCAAACTAGTTTAACAAAATATTTGTGTATTACAAATTATAATTAAACCCTTCTTACTTTGGTTAAGTTTTATCAGTACAAAGTATTTTTACTTCACTAGCGATCTGTTAATATATCATAATGTTTTCTGTTTTGCTCTTTAAGATGTGGACTTTTATTCCGACAACAGTGAAAAAAACCTATTTACTTAAATTAAATATTAATCTAGTAGGTAATTTGAAACTGTCTCAATACTAAGTTTGTTAATCACGTTTATAATAACACTAGTAAGATGTGTCAAGTTATCAATATTAATAACTTGACACATCTTAAACATGGCTGTCTGATTTCAACTTTATACTGGCTTATACTATAATAATAACTTTAATGTTATGGATAAACTACACCCTGACACAGAAGAAATGATCGTGCTCATAACACAGTTATTTTTCTCCGGGTGGGACCCACGACCTTGCCAGTAACGGGGTCATTATATTATTCTAAAACAACTGCAGTAAAATAATCTAAGAACTAACAAGTGCATTTTACAGATGGAATTGACTTTGTGTGACTAGAGATCGCAACTTTGCACGATTTAAACGAAACATAAAACAATTTTAATTAAAGTTTAACAAGTTTATGTTTAACAATGATTACTGATTGACTCCACGGAAGGCGTAGTGGTTCAAGTGATCGCCACGCCGCTTACTATTATAAGTGTTGTGGGTCCGATCCCCACATGGGACGACACTGTATGATTCACAAATTGTTGTTCTGAGTCTGGGTGTTCTTTGTGTCCATTTCCATGTTTGTAAAGTCACCCGCCACAGGAGCCGTCTTTTAACAAAAAATAAGATTAAATAAGTAATAACTTATACTACTAGTTGAATCCAAATACAAGCAACACAAAAGTAAAATAAAATTCAAGGTTGTCATTCCCGGTTACTTTTCTCGTTTGTATTCTTAGCTATATTTGTGGTATACAACACGTATGTGGAAAATAATACTTAATAACAGAAACTAAATGAATAGCCACAAATATTCCTATTTTAAAACGATCACCGATATTTCGTCTGTATTGACGATCGTAAATTCATTTGTAATCAGAATAGATTATCCTTACTATGCCTGTCGACACTCCAACCCTAAACGTCAGTCATAATGCACCTTCTAAATTATTAGGACTAAAGACTACTGAACAATCTGTCAAATGTTAAGTAGTATTGTAACGCTTGCGTGGTGCGTCAGACTGCGCCGTGGTGGGGTCACGGCTGGCGCTGTGCCCGGAGCCGCTGGCGTGGGCGCTGACGGACGGGCAGCTGCGTGCCGCGCTGGCGTGCGCCGCCGCGCTGGCCGCGCCCGTGCGCCGCGCCACCGCCGCCGCCACCCGCGCCAAGGCGCTGAGGAAGGTACGCTCTGTGCCTATTATATAAGTCCTTTGAATATCTTCGTCCCTCTATCCCTATCTTATACTCCCTCCCGCTAACCTCACACACACTTGTCAACGGTTTTGTGTTATGCCATGACTCATCAACACAGATGTTATCATCACTCCGGTCGAGCCGGCCCATGTGTGCAAAAGCTTGACTCCCATGAGCAACTTGTCTACGAAAAAAATATTTTATTCTTAGAATAACCCAATTTCAGATATTTCCTAATTATCCAGAAGGTCACTGATAGGACATTAGAGCTGACATTATTGTAAGATTAAATAGCAAAAACACAAAATAAACAAGCCATTATTTTATAAAAGTACAAAACATTAAGGTTTGCGTGCCACATACATACTTGCGACAATTACGATAAAGAGTGGTAGTCCTCCACATGTGCGTTAAGTAATAATATAATTACACATGTACATAATTTTTAAATATTTCCGAACATAAACTCTTAATCCAGTCAATGAAAGCTTAACTTTGCATTTTTGAGTTGATGACCTGCAACCAACGCGAAAAAATAAAGTGGATTAATATATTAAAATTGCAGTGACGGCAAAGGGTGCAAAAAAATTGCAAAATGGTGCAAAAACTTTCTTCAATATCTCGCGACTGGCTGGGCAAATAGAAAAAAAGAAAAAAAAATGATTAACAAAAAAAAAAATTTTGCACCTTTAAATGCATTTTGTGCAAAAACTATGGGAGATACGCGAAAATACGTTGATACCTTTTTTGTAGGAAATTTAATTGTCTACAACTTTGTATTAGGATTTTTTCTATTTTCGCATCCAGTCGCGAGATATTGACGAAAAAGTCGTTTTTGCATCATTTTGCAATGTTTTTGCACCTTTTGCCGTCAATGCAGCAACCTGCAATTTTAGTATATTAATCTACTAAACCCTTACGGAAATTTTCGCGTTGGTTGCAGATCATCAACTCAAAATCGCAAAGTTAAGCTTTCATTGCCTGGACTATCTAGCGACATTTTAGTTTCAACTACGTTACATGATTTTGTATTTTTTGTCAATAGATTGAGGAACCTCGAGAACCCGTACCTACCAAATCGGCTACAGGGGAACGAGATATACTAGCTAGAATGTTCGCGAAACACGACGTACGCGAAACCTCCTACCACCTGCTTGCACCTAGAATTGACCTCCATTTATGTGATGATCCAGGCTGTAAGTACCTTTCATAATTATATTTTTATTAAAAACTTAATAACATTATTTTTTAATTGTCCTTTATTCTTTATCCGTTAGCGAAGATAACTAATTTTTCGCCTGTACCATTATAGTTCATATTGTAATTGTGGTAGAATTGCTAGATTTTCCACTATACTCTGTTACTTTTTATTAGATTTTGGGAGCATTTAAAAATTCTAAGAACTGTACCGTCAGTTTTAATTACAGAATTTCAGGAACAATTAAAAATTCCAACAACTTAACTAGCACTTTTCTTTTCAAAAAACAACTGTTAAATTGTAAAATTACAACAAAATTGTTAAAATTTTCAGTACGTATATCGCACTGAAAATTTTACAATCACTTTTTCAATTCTGCTTGGCTTCAAGTAGATCAAGACTTGTTTTATTTTTTATTTTAAAACATTTATAGGCGTACTCAAATCATGGCGGATGTAATCAAGTGGATTTTGTTGCCAATAGAGCGCTATAGTGGCTGAGGCGTGTTACATATAGTTTCAGTCACTGTAGCGTTCGATTTGACGGCAAATATCAGAGTCAACAATAACCTCTGGTTGGTTTTTCTTATTGGTATTAACTAACATTGGTGAGATGACTGTGATTGGTATTAAATGGTTTAGTTAGTTTTATCGATGTGTTTATTGAGTTCAATGCTTCAGTTAAGCTTTTAAGTGTAATTCAGAGGAATTAGAAAAACTAAATGTAATGTCGAATTAATTAAAGTAAAATTGAGACAAAAATATAGAAGTTTAGACACGTCAGTCACTTCGGAGAAAAATTGTAGTCGTTTTATCTACATTTGCATCATCATCGCACATAAACGTAGATAGAGCTACAGAAAACTGAACAAAGTACCTTTCGTCCCGAAAAAAAGTATGCTAAAAGTAGAGTTAAGCGATAGTCAAAATCTACATTCAAACTCAAACATTTTCAATGGAGTAGGCCTTTTTACAGTGCACTTTCAAACTTCAGTAGTACAATTGATACGCAAATTTAAAAAAAACAAGAAATCAGGACAACAAGGATAAGACGACCCTGTTTATTGATTAATTCTATTATATTCTGTTACTTCCAACTAGATACCAAGACTTTAAGAGCAATTAATAAATTCTGGCAGTTTAAGAAAATACATTGTAAATATATCTCACTGACAATATTAGGATCGCTTTTTCAATTCTGTTTGGCTTGAAGTAGATTCCGAGTTGTTTCTTCTTTATTTAAAATACATTTATAGGCGTACTCAAACCATGGCGGATGTAATCAAGTGGATTTTGTTGCCAATAGAGCGCTATAGTGGCTGAGGCGTGTTACATATAGTTTCAGTCACTGTAGCGTTCGATTTGACGGCAAATATCAGAGTCAACAATAATCTCTGGGTGGTTTTTCTTATTGAGATTATCTAACATTGGTGAGATGACTGTGATTGGTATTAAATGGTTTAGTTAGTTTTATCGATGTGTTTATTGAGTTCAATGCTTCAGTTAAGCTTTTAAGTGTAATTCAGAGGAATTAGAAAAACTAAATGTAATGTCGAATTAATTAAAGTAAAATTGAGACAAAAATATAGAAGTTTAGACACGTCAGTCACTTCAGAGAAAAATATTCTTTGTAGTCGTTTTATCTACATTTGCATCATCATCGCACATAAACGTAGATAGAGCTACAGAAAACTGCACAAAGTACCTTTCGTCCCGAAAAAAAGTATGCTAATAGTAGAGTTAAGCGATAGTCAAAATCTACATTCAAACTCAAACATTTTTAATGGAGTAGGCCTTTTTACAGTGCACTTTCAAACTTCAGTAGTACAATTGATAAGTAAATTTAAAAAAACAAGAAATCAGGACAACAAGGATCTTATCTAATTAAAGTAACAGAATATAATAGAATTAATCAATAAACAGGGTCATCTTATATGACCCTGTTTATTGATTAATTCTATTATATTCTGTTACTTTCAACTAGATACCAAGACTTTAAGAGCAATTAATAAATTCTGGCAGTTTAAGAATATACATTGTAAATATATATCACTGTTAATATTAGGATCGCTTTTTCAATTCTGTTTGGCTTGAAGTAGATTAAGAGTTGTTTTTTCTTTATTTAAAATACATTTATCGTCGTACTCAAACCATGGCGGATGTAATCAAGAGGATTTTGTTGCCAATAGAGCGCTATAGTGGCTGAGGCGTGTTACATATAGTTTCAGTCACTGTAGCGTTCGATTTGACGGCAAATATCAGAGTCGACAATAACCGCTGGTTGGTTTTTCTTATTGACATTATCTAACATTGGTGAGATCACTTTGTTTGGTGTTAAATGGTTTAATTAGTTTTATCGATGTGTTTATTGTGCTCAATGCTTCAGTAAAACTTTAAAATATAATATAGACGAGTCAGAAAACCTGAACAAAATGTCGATTTATAAAAAGACTATAAGGTATATTTACCAACATATTTGATTCCGCTCGTTTACCTTTCCTCAAGCCAAGCCAAAGCCCCCCTAGTGTGACATTTTTACATGTTTACTTGGATTATTATTTAATTCAATACAAACATTAATATCAGTATTGCGCTAGTATATATAAATCTACATCGTTCCACAAATAACAAGTAGCGTCTTAACTATAAGAAAAAGCAGATGTACTTGCATCATTATGTCCCAGCTAATTTGCATTTTGTTATGTAAGTAGCAAGGTTTCGTTTCCTCTGCGTTGTATGTTATTCATTTATCCTTTTCAAAATACATATGCTCTTCAGACAATTCTCAAATTATTTTGTTAATCTTCAACCAGCGTGTCAAATTGTAGGCCAAATATGTAGTTTTCTATTTTTATCTTTTCATTACAAAAAACACTGTTGATCTGAGAATTCAGTCGGCAACATTAATGCGATATATTTATAGAAATGTAGATCCGTCAGTCATTTCGTAGAAAAATATTCTTAATCGGTTATCTCAACCGCAAAAGGGAGTTTGTTTTTATGTTTTACCTACTAATTCCCTCTCGACCTATCATCGTACAAATACGTCGATAGAACTACAGAAAATTGCATAAAGTACCTTTCGTCCCGAAAAAAGAAGTACGTATGCCAATAGTATAGTTAACTGATAGTCAAAATATACATTCAAACTCAAACATTTTTTATTAAGTAGACCTTGTTACAGTGCACTTTCAAACGTCAATAGTACAAGAGATAAGCAAATTAAAAGAAACGTGAAACTAGAATAACACAAAAGAAAATTCATTGTATTCTGTTACTTTTAATTAGATACCATGAAATTAGGAGGTATTAAAAATTCTATTACTGGCACTTCTTTCTTCAAGAAGCCTTGTGATGTTACGATCGCTTTTTTCAATTGTGTCTGACTTCAGGTAGATCTATAGGTGTACTCAAATGATGGCGGATGTAATCAGGTGGAGTTTGTTGCCAATAGAGCGCTATAGTGGCTGAGGCGTGTTACATATAGTTTCAGTCACTGTAGCGTTCGATTTGACGGCAAATATCTCTGGCGGTTTTTCTTATTGAGATTATCTAACATTGGTGAGATGACTGTGATTGGTATTAAATGGTTTAGTTAATTTTTATCGATGTGTTTATTGAGTTCCATGCTACAGTGAAACTTTAAAATACAAACGAATTAGAAAACTTTAACGTAATGTCGATTTATAGGAAGAATATAAGATAAAATATTGTTTACCTTCTTAGGTTATTATATAGCTTATTCGGCGCCGGCTACCTTTCCTCAAGCCAAGCCAAAGTCCAGTGTGAGATTTCTACAAGTTTACTTTGGACTATTATTTAATTCCATACATAGTTAGACATCAATTTTATATGTATATTTGCATGATTATGTGGTAGCAAGGTTTCGCTTATGCTGCGCTGTGTGTTATTAATTTGTCCTATGCAACAAACATACAATATTAACGAGTGATAGATTGAGCTTTGGTATTCCGTTATGGTTTTATTTATCTTTAATTAGCATATCATATTGTAAACCAAATTTGTTGTTTTCTTTTTTGTTCTTTCCTATTAAAAACCACTGTTGATCTGTCAGTTCAGTTGATAGCCATAATGCGCCAAAAATATATATGTGTAGACACGTCAGTCACTTACGAGAAAACTATTCTTAATCAATTACCATCAACTACAAAAGTTCACTTGTTTTTTAAGTTTCACCAATATCTTCCCTCTCAACCAATCATCGTGCATAAACTACAGAACTACAGAAAAGTGCATAAATTATCTTTCATCCCGAAAAAAGAAGTATGCCAAAAGTAAATCCTTTGAAAAAAAAATGCTTTAAGCAGTAAATTCGTGTTCACCTTCCACCTAATTTTATTTTATCGTTTTTTTTCTTCATCGATTTTGAAATGAATGCCAATATGTGTGCCAATATTCGTGTATTTATGGCCTTGTATTATCTGTCTGTAAGTGTTTACAATTATACTGGAATCAGTATTTTATTCTTTTTTTTTCATCTACAGTGGGCAGGTCCGAAAAGCCATCATTGTCAAAGGGAGGCGCGTTACAAGTGACTTTAGTGAGCATGCAGGCTGATCTTTTCCCATACCATAAAGCGTCAGATGATAGAAGACATTGGCGTGGTTATAGGTTAGTGGAAGATGAGGATAAGAATATGAGTGTCGGCAGAATGTGAAGAATGCGAGTGTAAGAAAGCGAGGGAGGAAAGCTTGTATTTAATATGATATAAAATATTACTAATAAAATAATAAAAACAAATGATAAAATAATAAAAAAACATTCGTTATAAACAGCTAGCTATAATATGAATAATTATGGTCGGATTTCGGTGTCTGGCTTTCTAATAAAAACTCGCTCTCGTACATTTTTTTTTATACAATGTTATGCTTCCGTCATTTAATTAAGTTTTTTAGCTGAAAACCTTATTTTGTCGCTGGTATAAGATGGAATTTCGACAAGCGTTTTAGGTAATCTCTGTAACAGACTGACGATAAATTAACAAACGGAGCCTTTAAGCAGTGTAATGTTGTAACCAGTAGAATATTAGTATTTTTCTGTAAACTGTTACAGGGAATCAGCGACGCCGCACAGCCAATGGTTATCACAAGCGCTATCGTCTTTTTGTACTACATTACTCGATACACTTGACCCGAGGCCAATCATTCCGAGTAATAAAGTAAGTTTGAAATAAATATTCTCGTAAAAGGAGAGAAACCATCAAAAATAAATGCCAGAAAGTTAGAAGTTAGTTACAATTTTCTATATTTATTTTCTATTGATGTTGTAGTACAACTGTTTGTTATCACAGACAAATCAAACCGATAATGGCGAAGGGCCAGTGTCCAACGGCATCAAACACCAGCAGCCACCACAACAACACAGTGCTTCCACAGCTCCGTCCACTAACACAACTACCTCACAAGGTTAGAATAATCATATTTAATAGTTAATAGTTTTTGAAATGTCACATCACAAAATTTAGAAGCCCTTAACTTGACCTTATTCATGGATGGCCCCTAAGCACACTAAAAGATATACGTTGTATACGTAACTTTTGTAGTTGTCTGTATTTGTCTGGTCAAGTCGACTAAGGGAGAAAACTATGCAAGATAACAGCACTGCAAAGAGAAGGAAAACTTGAAACAAACCCTATACCAACCCGTCCGGCCAGCGTATACCACGCTGGCCGGAGTAGGCTAAAACCGCCTTTCTAAGGAGAGGCCTATGTCCAGCAGTGGACTATCAAAGGTTGTTGATCTGATCTGTCTGGTTGTGAACCACATAACTGCCATAAGTGGTATAACTTCTGTTTATGTTTTTAAATGACTGCACGGGTGGCATAGTGGCTTAAGCGGTCACCACGCCGCTTCGCAGAGTGTTGTGGGTTGATCCCCACAGAGGACAGCACTTTGTGTGATCTACAAATTATTGTTCTGAGTCTGGGTGTTCTTTGTGTCCGTTTCATGGTTGTTTGTAAAGTCCCCCGCAACATAGGATATATTCCTAGTGCGGGAGTTGTCTTTACAAATGTCTTAATAATATAATATTTGCAGCGTCGCCGACGAGAACACGAATACTTCAGCATCTGGGCAAATTGATGACCACATGTCTAGTACTTAGAATAGATGACTTCACTGTATACAAGGTAAACATACATACATATAATAAAGCACCTGTTCGATTGATACTGCTTTTCGAAGATATTGTTAACATTAACATTCTCAAGGAGGGTTGGTGCTAGGCAGGCGACCGGCCATAAAAAAAACCAAAACCAATTCACAAATATCCGTGTGGTGACGGATTAAGAATACGAAATGTCACCACCCAAGGCAAGGGAGCAAACTACGCAGGACAACAGCACTGCAAAGAGAAGGAAAACTTGACACAAACAATATACCAAGTATCTTGTCTTCCGTCTTACCAACGTGGTATAGTAGTCCAAAAAATCCTTTCTAAGGAGAGGCCTATGTCCAGCGGTGGACTATTAAAGTCTGTTGATTGTTTGTTAACCAGCTTTTACGTGCCTTGCTCTGCATTAATATAGGTTTTTTCAACTAATTCTGGTTACTCACAGACAATAATTTTTATTTATATTAGCAAGTACTTAGTATGTAGTTCTAATAAAAATAATGTGTTTTAGGTATCGACAGGGTCCAAGTCCCGGGAAGCCCCGCGGCCTCTTGTAAGTGCGGAGAAAGCCACACTTCCGGGTGACGCTGGTCTTTTGCATGCAGAACTTACATTTTTTTATTACCCTGGTGATATATGCTTCCCTGGTGAGTAAATAGAATTCTTGAAAATCTTCTTCATTGTAATTACTCTTCATACATTCCTACAGGTAGGTACATACATACACTCAAGCTTATATTCTCTAAAAGATAAATTTAACCGGAAATTTAACACAAAGATGAATATTTTAAATAATTTTAATTATATCATGTAAAGAAACAAAAATAAACCAAATTCAAGAAAATACTTGATAAAATTCTTATATAATGCCTCTCATGTCCATTTTGCTCTAATAGCAAACACCCTTAACTTGGTTCTGAACTATAGCTTGATTTTTAAAGCACACTACACAGCAAGTTTAATATAACCTTGAATACTTGAATAATTCAAAACACGTGACCACGTGCTCACTTAGGATTATATTCCAATACGAGTATACAATGTTTTTGGTCATGAATCATGGTGATTATTAAATGATAATCATATGAACATTACTTTATTTAACGGATCCTACAAGCGAGATGTACGTATGTATGTTACAGTGCCAGCACCCAAACTTTACGTGCAACTATCCCCAGTCCGGATATCAGTAGATGTCCAGAGCGTAGTGTGGCTGGGAGCCTTCCTACCTCATGTAGCTAGAGCATTAAAACAAGAAGAACTAAGCGAAGAAGATGTGCCGCAACCGCCTTACATGGATGTCAGGATGGAATCTATTATGCCCAAGGTATGGCTCTTCTACCTACCATTTAAGTTACATTCGAGAGTGCAAGGTTACATTAGATGCATGGGAATGCATTTAGCTCATGTGACTTCAGAATAAACCCTCATTCAGAATCTTCTTAGCTTGCTGGTATGGTCGGACATTATTCCATGAATAACATGAGTGAGTCGTGTAGCGATAACTAAAAGGAAGTATTAATGTCAATGTAATGTCAATCGTATTAAATAGTTTTATTTGGTTAAAAACTAGTAAAAGATTGTTATTTGAGTTTTATTACTAAAATTTAACAGAAAGAAAAATATGGGTTCCGCTCCAACAAGACTGTAAAGGAAACAAATATTTATCCTAATGAATTTGTTTCAAATTTAAACTAATTAGTAGATTTGTCTATAAGATATAATAGTATGGCTGTTTATGTAGTCGGCATATTTTTCGTTATTTATTCATATAACGTTACAGATCGTGTTAGAAGCTGGCACAGAGCACATTTCCCAGCAGCGCGACCGACCAAAGGAGTTACATATATGTACTGCAAGGGCGACCCTTACCAACGTTCGAGAATCGCCTAGAGCCAGTAAGTTTCACATATTCCGTGTTTGTAGTCTTTGAACAATAACGACAAAAACTTTGTTTAAACGGTTAAATAAAGGTACAAAAACTGATCAAGCCGAAATTTCAGAACAGAACGTAAAAAGGCAACATGGTTACCATGAAGTTTCTTGTAACTCATGGCTATATTGTGTGGCAGATTCTGCGGGCACTCGCGCGGACCTGGCGTCGATCCTGGCGGCGCTGCGGCGCTCCGCCCCCCCTAGCGGTCAGTTCCCATGCACGTTGGACGACATGGACCCCCTACACGAGCAGTTCATACTGCACGCGGACAGTGAGTACCTCTGACTTTTTAGATGCCAGGAGCAAAAATAAAGAAATAAGGTATTTGTTAGCGACCAAGCTCCACCATTTCATTCTTATACCTTCCTACTGACGTTCAATATACATAAGAATTAAAATGAATATGTTGAAGTAAACACCGTTCATGGGCGGCGATAGTCACTTTCCATCAGGTGACCCGTCTGCTCGTCTGCCCCCTCTAACATAAAAAAAAAACAAACACAATAACACTCATTTTTACTAGCATTAAATGTTTAACTGACGTAAAAAATGAGATTTTTAATTTGGTTTTTGATCGATTTGTAAATATTTTTTTTAGTATATTCTGAAGGATTACAGGTTAATAAATGGTTTTACTGGTTTTAATTACTTTAATTTGGTAATAATTCAAGACAACAATATACTCGTGTTAACGGTGGCGGCGCAACAAATATGAACGGACTATTAACATTAGATGACGGATAGATGGATAGTCACTCACGCACTTCGTTATACCATAACATATTCCCCTTCCTTCCCATTTGTTTCTGTTGCTTGAAAAAAAAATATCACCACATAGGAAGAAGAAAAAATATACATATACTCGTACCTACGTCGTAACTGTAGCAAGTGCACTTATAACGGATTTTGCGGCATAACCGGATGAAGAAGGTTTAAAGAATCTAGCAAGTCTCGCAAGTGTTTGTTATGCCTTTGCCTTATGTTGGATGTTTACATATCGAACACACATAAGTATTTTAAACGTACGTAATTTACGGCGATGTGAACAAACGGACGTTTAAAATTATTTATTTAACGTATGTCAATAAATAAATAAAATTAATCGCAGGAAACACCAAGTCACAACACAGAAACGAAACCTTAAAGAAAGTGTTAATAGTAAAAATCAATCTGAATTTTGTAACACTTAGTTACAAAATTCTGATTTATTTTTACTGTTAAATGGTTAAGTCTCAAAAAATCCTTATTTGGCGGCTTTTTTTTTCGCGGGGAATTTATCAGCCCTTCAAGTTTTCCACATTAATAATTTCTTTATTTTTCGTTTCTGTGCTGTGACTTGCTGTTTCCTGCGATTACTTTTATTTATTTATAAACATAAATTGACGTTGACTTTGAAGGTTGGTGACGGAATAAGGAATACGGAGTGTCACCACCCCTATAGATCCCGTGGGTATCGTAAAAGCCGTCTAAGGGAACTAATTTCCTTCTCTACGCAGGACAACAGCACTGCATAGAGAAGGAAATCTTGAAACAAAACCCAATACCAACCTGTCTGGCCAGCGTGGTATAGTAGGCTAAAACCTCTTCTAAAAAGAGGCCTATGTCCAGCAGTGGACTATTAAAGGCCGTTGATGTGATAATGTGATGTTAAACTTTGAATTAAGTCATTTAAAGTAGGTACAGAAGGTATAGACTGACTTACTAAGAATTTTATCAATACGACTCATATTCAGCTTAAAAGGCATCCTTTTTTTTTTTTTTTTTTTTTTTTTTTTTCCCGTGCGGAAATCCCCTCGGATACCACCTGTCGGTGGCATGTCGGACTCGAACCGACTAAAACCGCACGCCTTCGCCGGGTACTAATAGCCGGGGAACCAGGTATACCCTAGAAAGGAAGGCCCTGGTGCCCCGACATACCTCGGGTCATCTACAGACGAGTAGACGACCCCCGCCCCGTGTGGGAACCCCATGTTAACTGTGCTCCCTGGAAGCGAGCGCGCTTCGCAACGCGCTCGCCGCCACCCCGGCCTGCTTCTGCTAGGGTGACAGATGGCCTCACCTGTCACCCCCAGGCCTGCGCTTATGGAGGACGGAGGTCGTTCTGCGACCTCCGGCGCCTGAGTCGCCTGCGCTGCCTGGCCCGTGCCCGGGCCTGGCGGGCCGGGAGAGTTCTAAACCTCTCCCGGTCCTGCTCCGCCGTCTCCTTCGCGAGCATAACTTGCTCGCAGAAGGAGACGGCAGAGTTCCACGCACTCTCGCTCCGCACGATAGCCGCAATCAGGCTATCGAGCGAGAGAACTCCCACTCCGATGGCCGCCACGAGGTCTCGCCTCTGCTCAACCCACGCCGGGCACTCTGCCAGCGTGTGGAGAGCCGTGTCCACGGTCTGGCCATCGCAGTGGTGACACTCAGGCGTTGGCTCCTTGCGGATCAGACACAGGTGATCTCCGAAACATCCCTTCCCAGTGATCACCTGCGTCAATCGGTATGAGAGGGTCCCGTGTCGCCTCTCGAGCCAATCCTCCATAACGGGTCTTACCGCCGCAATGACGGCGTGCCCAAGCTTAAAAGGCATCCTAAACATAAAAACATTGATTTTTTCACATCTGTTGACTTACTAGGATGCTCCTAATTTGCAGACTTAGACGACATAGATCGTGGCACAGAAATCTCGCCCGAGCTGTTGTGGCGCGAGAACAGGTCCGTGTGGTGCGCGCGCGTCGAGCCGCTGTGGGCTGACTTCTGTGGCGCGAGGGCTACTAACTACAAACCTGCTCCTTTGCTCGACGCCACGCCTCTTACCGCTTGGGTAAGACAATCAAATACAAGAACCTTCAAGAAACTTCTCCTACCTCGAAGGCTAGTAACGCGCTTGTGACTCCTGAATTGCAGGAGTTCATGGGTGGCGGTAGTAATCTTCCATCACGTAACCCGTCGGCTTGTTTGTCTCTTATATCATAAAAAAATGTTTAGTTATTCGAATCGACATTATTGGATAGAATGAGGGAAATAGGTACTATAATCATGACATATTATTCTATTAATATTTTTAGATAGGCATCATCGGTACTGTCCGTGACGTGGTGACGGATTAAGAATACGGAGTGTCACCACCCCTATTATTCCCGTGGGTGTCGTAGGACCCGACTAAGGGAGCAAACTACGCAGGACAACAGCACTGCGAAAAGAAAAACTTGAAACAAACACTACACTAACCCGTTTGCCTAACGAGGTATAGTAGTCCAAAACCTCCTTTCTAAGGAGAACCCTAAGTCCAGCAGTGGACTATTAAAGGCTGTTGACGATGATGATGAACATGGGTACTGCTGTTTTTATCTGGTGTCTTATGTCGCCCATGATTCATTTCTGTAAAAATATTTATTGTGGCATTCTCAATCCTGAAAAAAAAACAGTATTAATGACAACTTTTACTAAAGAAGACTGAACATAATGGATATTTAAAGCTGGGCTGGTTACTTACAGATATGTTTTGATGACGATATGTCGCGTATCTGGATAGTGGCCCGAACTTGCGGATTGGCTGGACTTCAGCTCAACCATTACCAGATGCTGTTCCTCATGCGACAGTTGGAAAGAATCTCCGAGATGACAGCATGGCTGGCGCATGACGCTGATCGACAACCAGATGCTGAAGATGGGTGAGCAACTTTTTCTTTTCTTTTTTAGGTGTACTACGTATGTGTATGATACATAGGTCATTCACAAGGATGGCTGCTATATAGTATAAGTCCGCCATTGTATATTTTTGGGCATAAAGTTTAAATAATTAAATAAATTACTAGTTAACATAATTGTAACACAGAAGGTATATTCGACTATTTTAATAGTACATTTTCAATTATGTTCAACAGATCAATAGTAATAGGCGTAGTTGTACCAGCTGTGGAGCTTACCTTCGTGCTTCCATCCAACTGTCCCGGACAAGAGTCTTCCAGAGATCTCGACAGTGTGCCTCTAGACTCTTCCAGCTTACAGGACTTGAAAATGGGTAAGATTCTATTATGATATAAGCCAATATAAATAAGATCTTACAGTGGATGAAATGCTTCTATATTTCATTTGTCTGTCAATATATATATATTCAATAGTTAATTGTATACGTCATTATAAAATATTATACATTTTCCTCAAGTTTAATGTTTATAGCATATTAATTATTTGTACAGTTTTCAGCGAAACTAACATAAAACACCTTTTTTGAGAATGCTTTCTATTAGTTTTATTTCTTGTTTTTTAAGGTTCTATTTCAATGAAATTTTATTTATCGTAATACTAATTCTGAGCTAATGTTGAGTTTTATTCTGTATGGGAATCTATAGTGAGTTATTAACATTCATACATTTAAATTGATCAGAGCTTTACTAAGTTCAAATAGTATGGAATAGTATGGAATGGAATGGAATGAATAAGTATGGAAAGTAATCTAGCTGATACTAAACAGCGTCAGAATTATAGTTTATTCAGAAAATTCTCATACATTAAGCATGGTGTATATCTTTATTCACATCTTGTTATTTAAATAACATCATGACTACATCGATATTTCAAATAATAAATAATATGTCACCACTATCACATGGGTTCAAGTTCTAACCTAGATACCTAATATTCTCAAAATCCTATTATATTCATTAATTTTTGTATTTCTTATTTTCTTCATTTCCTTTCTTGGTTCTTCCTGCCTTCTCTTTCGGGGTGTACAGAACATCAAGCCGTATCCACTTTAGAAGCGTCAACACCACTTGAGGATAACTGCAGTAAGTTTCGGGTTTGTGGCTATAAGAGAATGATTTTTAATACCCAAGACGATAGGATTTAGATTTTTAATATTAGAACCCAGTCAGAATAGTTTATGACAAAAAATATACTTGTTTTATTAAACCTACATTTTTTTATTATAAACGGGTCTGACTTTATTAATGAGATTATACAAATGAACAAGATGATGTATAGTTTTTTTTTTTTTTAATTGATGAATCTTTCCACATCGTTTAAAAAAACAATACTTTTCGTCACACTTTTATTACAAATTTTTTAGTTAAACCATTTGTTTTCAATATACGACATATTGAATACATGTTAACAATAACCACTTCCAGTAGGTTCCGAAGCTACTATGGCCCCATCCATTGTTGATCGCGACAGTGGAGTGCTGGCTACGACTTCGATCGATGTATATCAACCGATACCTATTGAGGAACCGCTCCCGCCCAGTCCTGGACTCAATTTTGGTGGTACGTAATGAATAAGCAAATATAGAATAAAAAGACTTATGTCCATAAACCTTGGAAATGCCTTTGTTTAGATATCAAGAGACCGATTTATAATTGATCTTGTTCTTCTTTTACAGGTTTCTCTTCAATGCGTCGCGGCTTCACGTCCCTGGTGACGTCTATAGACAGTGCGCTGACCCGCGACGACACGCGCAGTGACGCTGCGTCCACGGCCAGCTCCGACAGCGATAGATACGTGGTGGTGGGACTCGCGGCTGAATCGCCCGACGATGCTGATATGGCATTTAGGTCAGGGTTTTTTATATGTTAAAACTAATGCACCGTTTTCGTGCCTGTTTTTATAAGTTCATTCAGTTGTACTAAGTTCTTATGATAAACATACTGGTGGGGTTTTGAAACCGTACTTTCAATCTACTGCTACTCCTTTTTTTTAATTTCCGTGGGAGAGCCATGGTTAGGCATTAATGGGCCGGCTCGACCGGAGTAATACCACGGCCTTACGGCGAAAACCGGTGTTTATTTATTTATTGGACAGCCAGTAGTTGTTACCTTATTTACTAAAATCGAAAGTATGCATCCATTATATTGAGATTAATGAACAACATATTAGGGCGACAAATCATGAATAATAAAGTAACACCATATAAAATTAAAAATAGAAAAACATCTATGCGAGTTTAACACTAAATTGAACAATTATAAAACAACCAAACAAACTAAAATTAACAAGCGTATTACTATTATATAATTTTAACTACCTAAGAGACTTGAATCATTTGCCCGTAACCAACCTCATAGCACCTTTTAACAACTATTTTCATTTTGGCAGTGCACCGGCGAATATGTCTACCTGTTAATTAGTGGGTTAGTTTACCGAAGCTCAAAACTTTCTACCCCTGATTCTTTTGTAAGGATTCAAAGAACAGAGACACACTTGTGGCTTTAGTACTTACCATCAGGTGACCTGTCTGCTCGTTTCGCCTTCTTTGTCATTACAAAAAAAACTCTGTTGGTGTGACTTATGACATTTCAGTATACGTTCACATTTAAATCCAACGCAGTTAAAACTTAAAAAGGTACTCTAGAGCGTTCATTAGCAGACACATAAAGTAAAAGAGTAGGTCTAAACAGCTTCATTGTAGCTATCGTTACGTATTGCGATTTAATATCTAATTCAGCTTGCACCATTTCATACAAATTTGTTCAATGATTAGTTCATGCGAGATTAATGAATATGTTTTAAAGTTTCGCTCCTGTAATATTTCATTCATCATCCTATATCGTTTTACAGAGAGTTCGAACACGGCCGAGTCTCGAGTGGCGTGGAGGTAGCAGCTGAAGTTGTGGAAAGGTCTTCCTCACCCAGCGATCGATCTGTCACCAGCTCGTGTCGGAGACGAGATGTGGTATTTGTGATTTTGTTCTAAGTCATCTATTACTACTATAAACTAATGTTAAACTCATAATAATTAATATTGGTCTAAAAACTGTTGTAGAGTATTTTAATTTGTGCCCAAAAAATGCAAAATCATTTTTTTTTCATTTATCCTTAGTTTTTTTTACTATTAACAGTATAATAAATTATAACAATAACGTATAAGGGGTGCATAACTTTAATCATGAGCCCTTAATCAAGTTATATGAATAAATGTTTGTGTATTTCACAGTCCAGATATAGCTCACGTGGGCTGTTTATTCATTGTTAATTTAGTTTTAAGATCCTTCCTTAACGCTTTAATGAGCAATAAGAAAAATAATTTAGAATTTTTTGTTGGTTTGGTTTATCTTTTTCAAAATAATGGTGGGATTATTTTCCTAATTTAAAAGTGCTGTAAGCATTTTATTTTTGTTTTCAATTTCCCGCAACTCAAGATATCAACGAGCACATGGAGACTAAACAACATCCACGTTGTACATCAAAGTGTTGGAAGCAATTCCGCTTTAAGGCTTGCCGCTGACGATCTGAAAAGCGATGAATGTTCTGCAATCCCTTGGGATGAGTTCCAGGTATGTGTCAATGTTGATGTCGTGTTGAAAACGAATGTTGTTTGAGACTGTTCTAGGCAATTGTTACATATTGCCGCATTATTATTATTATACTATAGTGCTTAGAGACCTCAGACGAAACATTTAATTAATTTTATACTCAAATAGTTAAAAGAGAGTTTAACTATTTACCTAGTTTAATAATGTATGAAATGAATTGACTGTATCTTAAGAATGCAAATTTTGCTTCGAACAGTCGTAAATAACTATTAAAATTAATAAAACATTAGGATTGTACTGAAAAATTGCCAAGTATATTAAGATTCACTTTGATACATATGTTTTATTTTTCAATGCAATCTTTCGATTTAACAATTCCATACACATCCACCTTTTTAAGACAGTTTATTTACACCTAACTCTTGTTTTAAGATTTATTTAAGACATAAAACTACAATAAAGATTTTTATATAAAATATCAGTATTTATTATACACAATAATTGTTACTCGATATAGTAAACAGCGTTTGGTAATAATACGAAGCATGTCCCATTAAAACAGCCCTACTTATTTTTAATTTCTAACCTACATTTTACAATAGTTGAAGAGAGTGAGATAATGTCATTGAAATGTCATCGTTCATTTTAGTGATTAGTACAAAACAATTGAATAATAAATAAATTATTTAGAAAACTAAACGTCTTTATATTTATGATGTAACTAAGGAGCCATTCATTAATTACGTAAGGATGAAATTGACGATTTTGACCCCCTCTACCCCCATGTAAGGATACATAAGATTTCTCGCTTCCCCCCCCCCCTTCCATCTTCTTACGTAAGATTCAATTCCTGGTCCTGAATAATAAAACGTTGTTAGAAAAGGACCAGTTACACTAAAAGTCACAGTTTGACGTAAATCAAAGATTTTATTTTTTAGCAGATAATTTAGGTTATACTTTATCATTGCTATTTAAATATAGATTATCTTCATATTATTAGATAAGTATCTAGTCTTTGGAATATTATTATTATAATTAAAAGTAAGTTTTTAAATAATCTTCAAGTAAACGAACATAAATTAGTTAAACAATATTTTAACTAATAACACTTAAAATAATGATTATATAATTATTATTTATGACATTTAAAATGGATGAAAATGAACACATTTAAGATTCAATTTTTTTAATAAACAATAAAAAATTGTAAAATAAGATATAAATCAAAGTAGATGAAGATGAAGTCGAATTGAAATATGGAATAAAAAAAAACATTCAGCATCTGAAATAGAATAATAAATTTGGACTTGTAAAATAATACATAAGAATGAGCTTTACCCCTCTCTTCCCAGCCCCCCCCCCCCCCCCCCCCCCCCCCCCCCCCCCCCCCCCCCCGAGATTTTTTTAACCCCAACCCGCCTCCCCGTAATTAATGAATGGCCCCTAAATACCTACAAAATTCTCACTGTGGAAAATAATAAATAACAATTCAGTGTAAACGCAACAAAGTTGTGCGTTATTACCCTAAAAGGATTGCACATTTCATCATCATCGTTTTATCACATAAAAAATTATAGCATAAGAATGCAGAGTGTACAAAACACATTTAAATTTACGATTACATAACAAAGAATTTTGTTTTTAAATATTAATATTCACACATAAAAAAAACATACTTTATTTAAAAAACAAACACTATTAGGCAAAACGAGCATCTCTGTGCGAGGGAACCATTCGAAACACGGTAAATTTAAAGCTGCCTAGAAGATGCTAAAAGTACTTAATTTTAACTAAAATACTCGCCATCTCTTTTGCTCTCTTCATTTTCCGTGTATGTTTACTTACCTAACATTTCAATGACATTGTCCGGCCTCACACTCCAAGCCAATTCCATCATGCAATAGTATTTAATTGGACAATATTCATAAACAAAGTTGGAATTGACCTTGAACCTCAAATGTAAAGGCGGTAACAGACCGACTGCTTGTCTTCATACAGACCGATATTCTAAGTTCTCTTACAATTTATTGCTGCGTAATACCTAAAAACTGAAATAAAAAAATCACCAAGGCCTCAATTCTGCTATTTATGATAACGCCAAGCCACTTTTATTCCATTGACACGCTGCGGAGATGTCATTGAGATGCCACTGACATCGGTCAAGATATCGGTATTCTACTAACATAAATTCACAGTGTTAATAGACTGTCGATAGTAATATGGTTCATCAATGGTGATATCAACAACATTGCCATATCATGAAAATTAAATGATATCATTTTCTTACAAATTTAAAATGTACCGTTTACCAAACTATTACAAAGACATCGACGACATTTGTATCAGTGACAAGTCATCCGGAGGCCATTGGTCTTACATAGTTAGGAGAATAGCAAAAGTGCAAAACTATTCGGACACATTCCATCGACATTCTATTGATACAATATTAAAATAGCATTGAGGCCCAGGACTCTTTAATGGTATTTTAACTTTTAAAGTTAAGATGTAGTTCTCAGATTACAAGGTCATAGTGTGTACCAGCTTTATTCAAAAATAGATAATAAATTTATAAACAGAAATGTTTTTGCACTTCCAATTTGTTGTTTTCTACTATTTACAATAATAATTTTACGCCAAATTCCCTTCACGCTTAGAATAGAATTGCGCGTTTCAATTACATATTTATTTACACGAGCCCGACTTAGACAACTACTTAGTATGTATAATCGCGAAACTTAAAAAAACCATTTTTGAGTAAACTAAACGGCTTTGCAATTGTCTGTAAATAAAATATATGTAGTTAAATGAACAAATGTAGTCTGTGTGTTACTGCCATAAAATAAAAGGTGTGCATGATCGTATCATACCATAACCATCGTATATTGTGCCCAGTAAGGTGTATCGCTGTAATACTGAAATAATGTTGAAATGGGCGTCGGGCCTACGAGCGATTGATTATACGCCGAATGATTGTTAAAAAAATATTATATTGATTTTCGTATTTGTAGATAATTTTTCCATGATTTTATTTCTGAATTTCATTACTGTGTGGCTTTTGTCATCAATATATTAATAATCACTCGCTTTTAAGCCTTCCCAAAATTGGAATGCATCCATTTTATCTCTAACTATATGTGTCTATGTGTGTTTTTTCCTCTATGGCAATTCCCGCCCGCTCGGCTATCGTGAAACGAAAGAACCGTCTCAAGGTATTTAACATAGATCTTGTAGATCACGGTCTATGGATCATTTGACACAATGTAGTGGTATCATTATGTTGAGTGCCCATAGTTGTAGAGGTTATGTGTCGTAGCCAAGGGGGTTTGTCTGTGTAAGAGTGAGTGAGACTAAAGATGTTTCTGTCACGGTCTTTCAAAGATTATTGAAAAAAAAAGTTTAAACCCCGTCATGAACTAAAAATAAAGTTACTAGGATTTCTCATCTTTTAAACTATATATCAAGTTTCAAATCAAAGCAGATTGTAATAAAATAAGACCTCTTTGTGTCTCTTTTCCTTTTTTTTGTTATTTAATTTCCAATTGCCTTTTTACTCTTCATGCTATGAAATCATGTAATCGTATGAAATTAAAATAAGAGTATCCTAAAAACTCACAAGACTTAAAAGTCGTAAAAATCAACTATAAGTTTCTTAAGTAACGCCGTATTAAAGAAGTGCATTACGTGGAACCACTTGCTTCACCTGATCATTTAATATATTAAAAGTCAAAATATACAACAAATGTATAAACGACTTCAGATTACAGTTAACATTTAGTGTTGAATTCTCTACAGATAATAAAGCAATCAAACGCAACTATCTGTCATATCTGACATTCAAACAGAACCCTTCTGTTAAATTACCTAATTACTTTGATGTGTGTTATGCGAAAACAATGTGACAAGAAACATCTTTATAACCGCTTCATTGCTATCTGTTACACGTCTGCCATTTTATTCACAGTGTCGCCATCTAACGGAAAAGGTAATATGCATTTCGCTTCAAACGCACAAGCGTGTGAAAAGTCAACTTATCCCAGTGAGAGGCAACAGCTTAACAGAATCTTAATCTTACCATTTTATGTGGTGTATGTTGTATGCATGTTACTAATATTATTCGCTTTAAGAATTAAAAAATAATCTAATGTCATGTTTTAAGCACTCCTACAAACCAACTATTGATTTATTTATTTATATAATAATATGGAAATAATAACATATGAGGGTGGTTTACCAAGTTGTTATTTGTCTAATATACTAAATACCAAATTTATTGAAACAAAGAAAACTACCGCTAATACCTACATATTTATTAACACTGAGAACAAGTATAATATTATTTGGTATAAGCCAACAAACTACTACAATATTGAATTTTTTTGCTGCTTGCATGAAATTTAATGTCGCATGAAGCACTTCCCTTCATCTTCATCCCGCACTAGTGATACGTTGGTGAAGTGTCTGTTGTTGTGATGTGTAAGCCTTTTTCTATGCCTCTACTTCCGAACGAACTACATAATATTAAATAAAATTATATACTTTGCCACTTTAGGTATCTCGCCATTTTAAGTGTCATCCAAAAAATATCTCTGTACATTATCACACGTAAAGCATCACGAAATTACTTGACTGGCTAAAATTAACTTCAGTATCATTCGTCACTAAACTTGAAATAGTTAAAAATAATAACGTATCAATACACATAACAAATTCAATATGTTACTGTTATTTGAAATAATTTACGTTCGGCAGTACCGGCTACACAGACCCCCCGTATTCAAGCTCATTCCCCCGTTCCTCCTGTAACTTTCATATCTGAACACAGAATAAGTTCTCGATGCGGGCGCGTGCTTGGTCGGAGCCGGTGTTCGAGAGTGATGAGTTGGCAACGAGAGCTATTCCTAACGTCGCCGCAAGATTTGTAAGGACTCAGCTGCCAAGAAAACCTGATGAAAAGGTTAGTATTGGCTTGTAAATGAACTTCAGAAGGTTTGTCTGGTCAGGTTGTCTTTTTTTATTTGAAAGTTCTTTAATCATTTCTTTTTAAATCCATATTAGGTAGACAGATAATAAGTTGTCACAAGATGAGTTAACAAGATACCGTTTGTTGTAAAAAAAACCTAAGATAGCTCTCGTCTGCTGATGAGGTACTCTAAGGCACTTTGATTATCCAGACAAAACATAAGGCAACCCTTCAAGGACTCTTTTCACCGCAATTTTTATTTTTATTTTAAATTTTTATTATTATTATTTTTACACTAGTTATCGCCCGCGGCTTCGTTCGCGAGATGAAACCTATATATATACAATAAATGTCGAACTTTCATACAACTGTTTATTCCTTATTTTACCCCGTTACAGGTGAAGTTTCTAAAAATCCTTTCCTAGTAGGTGCTGACAACATAAAGAACATCAGATGCCAAAATTTCTAGTTTCTAGCCCTAGCGGTTTAGGCTCTGAATCCGTCAGGGCAAGTAATTTTATAAATTTAAAATACATTTAATATTTTCTACATTCCTATTTCGTTTCTTATGGTTGACCAAGTGTTTCATGTATATAACGTTTCCTTTTATCTTTACAATATCTTCAGGGAGAAGTATCAGGATTAGCGCCATTTGAGGAACTGCTCGAGGCTCGGGTGAGGGACCTCTCTATAGCTCTCAACATGAGTACTGCCTTGGCACTCGCTGAGCTTATTGAGGACGAGGTTGTGGCTCCACCTATGCCTTTAGAGGTAAGCGATTGATTAAGTTAAATATTACTCATTATACAGCTTGTTGCAGAATGATGTGGTTATATTTTGGGTTACTGTAGTAAATCCTACAAATAATTAAAACCATTTTAAGAAATTTTCCTGAAAATTGACTGTTACTAACTGTTTGACTGATTGTGATTTAATAACAAGAATGTTGATGAACATCAACATTCTTCTTATTTCTGAAAATAAATCGTTTAGGAGCTATGAATTACGAGGTGTGTTAAATATTAGGTTTTAAAAAAAATCAACCTCAACATTTGATTGCATCGCGCAATTTTGTTACTGAAATAAATTGCCGAAAGATAGTTCCAGTTTTATCAGAATAAAATGTCAATTTGTTTTTCTTCTGAATTTAGGCAGACATCATCATTTCATAAATTTCGACGTGTGTTTTTATTTACTGGTTACATGCGCCTTTAAGTAATTTTAAAAGTAACTATGGTATCTAATTCTATTACGCAACATTTTTCAAGGTATTAATAGAGAACGTGAAACTCCACCTAATAGAAGACCGTCCCACTCGCTCAATATCCTCCCCCCCGCCCCAACCTTTGGACCTCGATTTGACGACGATTCGAATGACCCGCGACACCGCCGGAGTTGTGCGACTCGGCCCCCCAGTGTCAACTCCGTCGACGATAGCGTCACCGGCCACTCCGCAACCCATGCCGGAGCTAGATGAAGCCAAAGAGAAAATTGAAAGGCTGAATAGAGAAAATGAAGAGTTAAGGAAAAGACTAGTCACGTTAGCAAGGATAGCAGAAGATAATAGGGAGCTTAGAGCGTAAGTTTTGTTTTCAATCCTAATATACACTATGACCCTCTTGAAGATTTGCTGGACTATAATAAAAAAATACCTTCCAAAGGTCTATTCTTTCTACACCTTTTTTAAGCTAATTTCGTTTACAGAGGACTATAAAATATTGAATACTTAAAGCTTAAATTAACAATATGCGTTATTTAAAAAAATATATGTAAAAAGCTACAAATAGCCAGTATATGTGATAACCTCCCTTGGCACGATATATCTGTATACTTACAGTTCAACTTAAAGGAATAACATTATGTATACAAGAAATATGGCAAAGTAACGCAGCAAACAAAATTTACAATTTAATAAATGATGGAGTAGCAATCATTAACTAACTTACAGTAAAGTGGAGGAGGGCATCTGTACTTCGAAAGGGTTCTCCCGGGGGCCCCCAACAAAAAGGGGCCCCAAAAGGTTTGTTGGGGCTGGTGCAGGAACAAATTGGGGCCCAAATACTTTTTCCCGGGGACTGTAAAATTTTGATTTCTAAAAAAACCCATTAAATTAATAATATACCCACGGGCACTATAAAGCTGCGGGTGGTTTTAAAAAAAATTGCTAAATAAATACTTAATTATCTAAATTTAAATTTTGGGCCCCCTAATTGCTTTTGATATTTGTAAATTTGTTTTTTTTAATGGAGACCACCCCGGTTTTTTCACTGGGCAAACTAGAAGAAATTTGTGTTGTGGTAAAAAAATTTAAAAACTAAAATTAAAAAATAAAATAACATAAATATTTAATAAATCAAACCCAAAAAAACCATTGTTTTCGGACTCATAAATCGATTATTTGTTCGGGTGGGAAATCGAACCCACACGTCTGGCAAAAGAAATCCGGAAAATCACTATAAATATTTCCTTAGTATTATTTATATCGCAACTAAGCTGACAAAGAATTCTTCTTTCCCAGGAGCAACTATCAGGTGTCGCGGAAAAGATGCGGTCCCGAGGCGGTCCGCCGCAGGGCTGCCTCGATTGCACGGCGTGCTGCGGAGACCAGCAGACGTAGATGCGAACTTTATAAACAACCCTAGCCCCTGTATATAATAGATGTTGCCACCTTAATACTGTCTTATCATTGTTTATAATAAAAGTATTTGGCGGAATTGTCTTTGAACCTCGGCAATTTTATAAGTTACATATCTGCGAGCTTTGGGTAAAAGGTTCGTTATTATATTCTGCGTCATGGATTTACAAACGAAAACAAAAACTCCTTACATGAAGCCGAAAGAGCGCATTTCAAAATTTATTATAAATGTTCGTGTGAAAATGTGCCCGATTCTTTCTTGAATCTACAAGCCAATAGCAATCAAAGCATAGGCCATTTAATAGGAAAAAGTGAATTAAATTGTAGTCTAGAGAAACTTTCAAATTATAGTTGTAATTAGAATAAGGCGTTTATGTTCAAAGACAATTCAGCCATACATTAGCGATTGTAGTGAGTCATTACAAGTTTTATAGATTAACGTTCCACAGGATGCTTTGGGCTGTTAAGTTCCCATTAAGTACATAAGGCACTGTGATGTTTTAAAATTTTACAAAAACTTAGAGTTAACTTGTGACTGAAGAAGGAAATATTGTGCTAATTCCTATTGTTTTGTATATTTTGTCAATACTATGAACTGGGCCAAAATCAAAGTGATTCGAAACTAATTATATAGCTTAACTCGTGAATTAAGGTCGATGCTTAAATACAAAAGATTGATAATGATTAATTCCTAATTAATCCAGAGTTGTCAAACAAAAACCGAAAATTAAATAAGGGTAATTCGATGAGATTGATCTTTAAAACAATTTTTCAAATTCATTAAAAACAAATTTTAAATTTGGGGGAAACCCAAAAAATATTTGGGATTTTAAAAATGTTGATACAACATGCTCCCCTGTTTACAGTCCCCGCCCGAAAAGATCGCCCCGCCCTGGGGCTTAAAACGGTGTGACAATGTTTCCCGAAAACGTTTCCCCCCTGGTGATAACCCCGGGTTCGCTTTTCTATCTACAAGTATGTAAGCATCGATCAAAAATTAAACCAAATTTTTATCGATATTTCTTTCCAAATTTTTAAATACAATTTTTGTGCAATATTTTTTTTTAAAAACAATAAACCTTGGGGGCCCCGTTGTTTTTTTGCCTAATAATAACAAGGGGAACAAATAAATTCCTATCAAAGAAATTTGGGAAAGAAATATATAAACTTTAAAATCCCCAAGGCATATAAAATTGATTTATTTTTTTTTCTTGATTTATATATCTAAAATTTTTACCATTTTTTAAATTGGGGGGGGAAAATTTATTTAAAAAACCCAAAAATAAAAATTTTTTTTTAATAAAAGCATTTAAAACTTAACAGTTTAAATGGCGATATCAGGCAATTTTGATACTCCCAAATTTTTTAAAAAAGGAAATTCAAAAACTTTTGCTTACGATCCCGAAATTTATTGGGGGCTCTCATGAATGAATATCTTTTTCTTTAAATGATAAACTTAAAAACCCCATCAAACACGTTAACCTATTTCTCTGTTCGAGTTTTCCCGAGGGGGTTTAAAATTCGACGAGTATTCTTTGACGAATTTGTTTCCCATTAAACCCTTTTCTCAAACGCAAATTTTTTTCAAACGGCAAAAATAATATTTTAAAAACAATATGCGCATAAGTTTAATTGTATCTTGGGCGCTCAAAGACAACCCATAAAAAAAAAGGGAGCCCAATTGATTCAACTCAAAAAATAAAGGCTTGTATTTTAAACTTAAATTGGGTAAATAAGTTTACAAATACTCTGTTTTTTTCGCTCGAAAATGACTTATAGCGGGTATTCTCGGGAAATTTCTAGAAAATTTAAACCGGGATTGGAAAAGTTTTTCTCTTATTGTATGAATAATTATAACTATGTTCACCCCCTTTACCCATTTTGTTTAACCTATTACGCTAAAGCTACTTTAACACCCCATATTTTGGGTTTTTATTAAAATTTCCCCTTCTTTGGGTGGACGTATTTAAACCCAAAGGGAAAATGAAATTTTAAGACTAAAGGGAAAATTAAACAGATCCCGCACTGTCATTAAAAAAGTTTGAGACCCAAATTAAGTCGCCCAGTGAGCAAGTGTCATAAAAAATAAAAATTGGGCATATCATATACACCCTAGTCTTTTTTCGTAATTTTTTTCTTTTATTTTTTTTTTGTTCCTTTTTTTCAAAATTCATTATGTTTTTAAAACATAGGGGAATTTTTACCATCAGTGATCCTAAGACAAAGAAACGTTTACAAACTTTAACGTTAGTTATGTGTGCATGTATTGAACACACAATATATAATTTAATTGAGTAGCTAATCGAACTTTATTACGCTAAAGTGGGCTTTGGACAATGTAACGCCACGTCATTGGGCGATACTACATTTAAACGATTGATATCAGTTACACAATATTATCGTAAAATTAAAATATAGTCATAACAATTATATATCCGTATACAATGTAAATATAGGGGAAAATTATATTTTTATATAGTACTTGAGTATGTATCGAGCCCCTACCTAATGTAATAAAAATTTTTCGTAAGAAAACGCATTAAATATACATAGGTACTCCAGGTGAATTGAAATTGGTGATATTTTTCTATTATTTTCGAATATTCTTTTGGGTAAGTGAAATCTCATGAATGTAAAATTATGACATACCTATATGATAACAAAGAAAAGTAATTTAAGGAATCGTTTTCATACTTTTTGCCGACTGCTTAAAAATACGGTATAGTTTAAGTCTTGAAAGTTTCCCTTCTTTTAAAAAATCCTTCTATTTGTAAGAAGTCTTTGATAACAATGATGCATATTTTCAGAATTAAAATCTTAGGCCTAGTTATTAACGTTAATGCGTAGAAAAAATTTTTGTTGACACGAAATAGATAATTAAATCTTGTGTTGCCATGTACCTCTGTCTGTATCAAAATCATCATCACATCAACAGCCTATACTAGTCCACTGCTGGACATAGGCCTCTCCTTAAAAGGAGGTTTTGGCCTACTATACCACGCTGGCCAGACGGTTGGTATAGGGTTTTGTTTCAAGTTTTTTCCCTTTTCTTCTGTCCCGTATAAATTATATTCAATAATAAATATCACATCATCACACGGTCTTTTCGTTAGAAAGGAGGTTTTGTGGCCAGACAGGGGTTTGGGATAGGATTTGTGTCAAGTTTTCCTTCCCTTTTTCAGTGCTGTTGTCCTGCGTAGTTCCCTCCCTTAGTCGGCTCTTACAACACCACGGAATGAATTTGGGGTGGTGACACTCTGTATTCTTAATCCGTCCACCACAGGATCAATATTAATGTCTCAATAGTAATGATTCAATAATAATGTATATCTTAAAAAGTGATTTTTGGCTAATGGAATGTGTGTAATGGACTCCCTGTGTTTTTTTTTTGCACGAACCCTAATCACTGTAAAGTCTCAGTGGAACTCCCATTAGCATTTGCTGCTGTTTCGAGAATAGCCGGAAGAAAGAGATAGACAAAAAATTTTTTTCTCAATAGTGTTGCATAAACAGCCACATAATTTTTCTAAAAAGATGATATTTCACACTTAGATTTTTTTTATTAGTATAGATGGTCAATGTGAGGTTATTCAGTGAGCATAATTCCATCGTTGAATACTATGCCTATGATGTAAAACAAGGAAAATAAATGCGGTTATATTCTTTACTGATGCAAATATGTCACGATCATTAAGGCTTCATAGCTGTAACATTTACGAGGTACGATACTTTTTTTTCACCATTTCAATGGATTTTAAATATCTAAGAATTAAGTTTAAAAGTTTCTATAATCGATTACCTCACTGTGCTGTAACATCCTTTATATTATTCCATGAAGTGTATTAATTTCAGCAATATTTTCCGATAAACAATTGGGGCCCTCTTTTTAAGAATTTTAAGGGCTTTCGTGTACATCCTCAGATATTTTAATCGTAATTTAATCGTTAAATATTAATAAGTGCCAAAACAATTTGTTAAGTAAAACCCTCATTTGGACGTATGTATATATTTTAAAATAATTATTTAGTTTACGACTGAATGTTGACTATTATTTTTTTTATTAAATTTTATATTAAAAAAAAGTTTATTTACAAAATTTTTTAGCTGGAAAATAAAATCGGAAACAATTGACCACAAGATTTAAGAAATTGAAAACCGTTGTCCAAAAAATTTTGTCTGGTTTTGGACTCGAACCGCAGTTTCAGATAATAAAATTGTTATTTTAAATTTTTTTTTTTTCCATGGGTAATTTTTATTTTATTAAAAACGTGTGTACATTTTTCAAAATTTTACGATGTATTTAGATAGGTACCTTTTTTTAAAATGAAATCTTTTTCTAGTAGTTAACCTAAAAAGAGTTAAAATTTTTTTATAAAATAAAAATCTTAGTTTCATATACAACTTAAGTTCCATTTGAACATGTGTCATTTCTTGTGTAAGGGTATGTATAAAGCTATGATATATCTTTCGAAGCGTCAGTGATACAATATAAAAGGTAAATTTTGATAGTTTAATAAGTTTTACATACATTTTGGGAGAAATTTAGCCTTTAACGCTCTATGGCGTCTGAATTTAAATATATAATGCTTTTTTATTAATGTAATGCAGAATATGTTGATTTCAAACATACATTTTCGAGACATTCAAATGATTTTTTTTAACTTAAAATGTCACCCGTGAGGGGGGTAAATAACTGAAAGTAATTCGAGAGAGATGACAGAATGAAATTAGGTATAATTTTTTTTTAATACAGTGTTCTGTTTTTGAAAAGTTCAGAAAGATTGCCGTTTAAAAAATGTTTGATCTTCTATTCTTTCCTACCTATGCTGATTAAATACACTTGTTAAAATGCAACATATTACATTTGAAGTAGCTGTATATGACTATTATACATTTACCTCTTATACTATGTGTTAGGATTTAAAGAAACTCGTGCCTGTATTAAATTAGGTATAATATATCGCTTTATATGGTTGCCGCTAAACCTTTTTATACCTTCTCATCTAC